TCTCTGTGTGAGTCTGTCTGTCTGTGTGTGTGTGTGTGTGTGTATGTATCAGTGGTGGGTTTCCAAAATTTTTGGAACCTCTTCTGTAGGTGTGGCCTGCTTTCTGGTGGAACCTCTTCTAACCGGTTCAGTAGATTTGACGAACCGGTTCTACCAAACTGGTGTGAATTGGTAGGAGCCCACTTCTGCTGTGGCATTTAGAAAGTTATCACCCACCCCTCTCCTAGAAGAATAAAATATTTTAGGAAATATTTAAAAAGCAGAATATTTACTTTACATCCTACCATCCATCTTGGATAACTCAACTTTTGGGTAGTTTCTTCATCATCAACCTTACACTCTAGTATCAGATACGTCATCTTTTGGGCAGCTTCTTCAATATCAACCTTACACCCTACTATCCATCTTGGATAACTCATCTTTTGGGTAGTTTCTTCATCATCAACCTTACACTCTAGTATCAGATACGTCATCTTTTGGGCAGCTTCTTCAATATCAACCTTACACCCTACTGTCCGTCTTGGATCAATCATCTTGGGGGCAGCTTCTTTAACATCAAACTTAGTCCCAACTGTCCATTTTGGATAAGTCATCTTTTGGGCAGCTTCATCATGAACCTTATTCCCTACTGTCTATCTTGCATAAGTCATATTCTGCGCAGCTATTTCATCATGAATCTTGCTCTCTACTGTCTATTTTGGATGTCATATTTTACGCAGCTTCTTTGTCATGAACCTCCATCTTTGATATAAGTCATCTTTTGGGCAGCTTCTTCATCATGAACTTTACTCTCTATTGTCCATCTTAGATATAAATCATCCTTTGGGAAGCTTCTTCAACATCAACCTTACTCGCTATTGTCGATGTTGGATAAGTCATCTTTTGAGCAGCTTCTTCAATATCAACTTTATACCCTACTGTCCATCTTGAATCAATCATCTTTGGGGCAGCTTCTTCAACATCAAATTAATCCCTACTGTCCATCTTATATAAATAATCTTTTGGGCAGTTTCTTCATCATCAACCTTACTCCCTATTGTCCATCTTGGATAAGTCACCTTTTGGGCAGCTTCTTCTTCATCATCATGATCAATTTTTGACTGGGGATCTGTTTTTCAACTTTTCAAGAATTCTAAGCGTGTTCTAAAAAAAAGCACCTTCTTTTTAAAGAAATCCATGGTCACAAAAGGTTCAATATGCATTATACTGGAAACAATGTTGTTATCATCAGAGATCAACATACCCATTGCATAGACTGTATGCTATTAATGTTGTCATGCAGAACATAAAATACGATGAAAAACCCTCTTTTGTCCCCCCAAGTGCATTCAAAGCTGGAGACCAAAAGTAAAATCTAATCTTGTGCATGCTTAGAAGGAGGAGGAGAAGGTTCTTTAGGGAGGGGTGGGGGAAGCCAAACTTTAAAAGTAAGGGGAAAAAAAAAAGAAATGAAATGAAAAAGTTATTTCCAAAGAAAGGGTTATAAGTGACCATTCCTGGGAACTTACTCAGAGTCTTTGTCCCATAGCCGTCGTCCCCTAATCCGGGGAAATCCTGCACGGCAGTCCCCGGAGAGAGCAATGAAAGGAAAAAACACCCGCAGAAAAGGAAGGAACAGTCAGTGCAGTTGAAATGGATACTACCATGACAGACCATGCAGATAATCCAATCTGGATTCCCGCGTTTTGAGCAAAATAAAAGCTTAATCTCCCGATTTAAAGACTTTCATGGAAGCCGAAGAGATGTGGTTAAAGTGAGAGAGAGCAGAAGACTCTCTTTAGGGGAAAAAAATGCAGGCAGTCCTTGACTTACAACCATTTGTTTAGTGACTGAAGTTACAACGGCACTGAAAAAAGGGAAGGAGCTGGAGCTAGGAACGAGAACTCACCCCACCACACAGCACTTGGGTCTTGAACCCGGGCGGGCTGTCATCTTTCTACGTCTTTAATTGCGGAGCCATCACACTCCCTAAATGCCCCTAAAAGGCCCAATCTTCATCATCCTCTTTTAACGACCCCATAATCCCTTGCGAGGTGGAGTCTGGGCAACTGAATGGAGCTAGCAGAGTGTTTTAATGGCTGGATGCCTTTCGTGTTGCCAACACGGAGTTTGTTCAGCAGATATATTCTCACTGTGTCCAGAGAGAGAAATATCTGCCTCTACTTAGGACTGAACTCACGGCCTTCTGATTGTGAGGCGAGAGCGCCACCTCTAGGCCACTGCACCACTCACCCTAAATATGCAATAATAGGTATTAAATCCAGTGGAGACTCATTATCTCTCTTTCTCTCCCTCCCTCTCTCCCTCTCTCTCTCCCTCTCTCTTTCTCTGTGTCTCTCCCTCTCTCCCTCCCTCCCACTCTCTCTCTGTTTCTCTTTCTCTGTCTCTCTCTCTTTCTCTCTATGTCTGTCTCTCTGTCTCTGTTTCTCTCTCTCTCTCTGTCTCTCTCTCTCTCCCTCCCTCCCTCCTCCTCTCTCTTTCTCTCTCTCTTATACTGTATGGCTTAGAAATAGCTCGCATCTCGATTTTCCACTTTGGCTGCATTCTGTGAAGCGACAAAGTGGGAAAACTTCCATCAGATATCTGATTTTCACAGATAAGACACTCCCCCCCTTCTTTTTCTCCCCCTAAATAGCTGGGAACTAGTCCAAACCATCTCATTATCAAGAGCCTTCCAGTTCAATGGACGGAAGTGCCAAGCTAATGAATCGAAGCTATAAATGTTTGATTGGGAACTCGTGGGCACAATTCACTAAAGAGTACCGGTAGTCCTCAATATATGACCAGAATTGAGACCAGAATTTCCGCTGCTGAGCACAAGATGGTTGTTAAGTGAATCATACCCAATTTTACAGCCTTTTTTTTTGCCATGGTCGTGAAGCTAATATTGTGATTTTTTTGTGATTTTATTAACATTTGTAGGCCGCCCTTTTCCCTGAGGGGACTCAGGGCGGCTCACATAAAATCAGGGAGGGGAAATACAACGATGACATAGACACATATAATAAAAGTAATAAGCAACATACACTCATCATTCGGGAGGGGCAACTATCCTTGTCCCCAGGCCTGACGGGCTAGCCAGTTCTTCAAGGCTGTGCGGAAGGCCTGGACGGTGGTGANGGAACCCGGAGGAGGCCGACCCTGTGCGATCTAATGGGTCTTTGGGAGGTAATTGGCAGCAGGCGGTCTCTCAAGTACCCAGGTCCTGAAGCTTGGGGAGGGCGAAAATGGCTTCCCCTGGCCCTCCAGAAGGCTGAAAATCAGCTCTACTTGAGTTGGTTTGCATCTATTCTTGGACAGGAAACTATCATGGCTTAGGGTGCGTGCCAATGCTTACAGCTGAAATACTATTCCTTGCGAAAAGGGAAAGCTCGAAGCACCAAAGCTGCTGGAAATTTGTCAAATCTTTAATGGGAAGGAACTCTAGGGGGAAAGGATGATTAAAGCAGCTCAGTGATGACTGAACAGGCTTATTGCCAAAAACACGAAATGTTTTCCGGTAGAAGAAATAGAGTAGAATAGCAGACACAGGTCGTGGTTGACTGGCTGGTGGGAAATGGTTGATTGGTTGACTGGCTGAACAGCCAAAAAAGCCAAGGCAATCCTCCTCCTCCTCATGTTCTTTTAATGACCACATAATCCCTTGCAGGGAGGAGACTGGGCAACTGAATGGAGCTGAGTATTTACTGGCTGGATGCCCTTCCAATGCCAATGCAGAGTTTTGTTCAGCAGATATACCATATTTTTTGGAGTATAAGAAGCATCTTCCCCCCCCCCCCAAAAAAGAGGGTGAAAATCTGGGTGCATCTTATAAACTGAACACAGCATTTTTGGCCTACTGATACACCGCCCCCTTTGCAAAAATGGACATGCAGAGGGTTTGGGAGGCTTCCCCACCCCCAGCTCCCAGGAGCACTCTATAAGCCTCCCAAACCCACTGTATGCCCTTTTTGTTTGCAAAAATGACCCATTTTTGTGTAAAACTGGCTGTTTTTGCTCTTTTTTGGCCCCCCAGCCCCCAGGAGCACTCTAAGAGTCTTCCAAAGCTCTGCATGCCCCTTCCTTCCTTCCTTCCTTCCTTCCTTCCTTCCTTCCTTTCTTTTTGCAAA